CTTCATTGTTTTAGTTTCCCCCTATAAATATTTTTAAGTGTCATTTTCAGGCATCTTAGTGGGTCATGTCCTGAAAATTTGCTCACTTCGGCCCCAACTTATACATACAGGCCTCCCTCCAATCAAAGACCACTTTTGGAACCAGGCTTTCCATGGGCTTTAGCAGCTTTGGCCTCTAAGCTATCAGAAAAATTGCAATTGGACACAAACCTCACTTTAACTAAGGTAGTAAATAAAGTACGCCAAAAACAACAACCACTAACAAGAAGTCGTTTCCTATGTCAAAGGTTAACAGACATAAAAAAGTCATCCTTGGAGGGGTAAGTCAACCACTACACACTCAAGCCCACATACAAACCAAAGCATGTTTTTAGCCCATTGGGATTTTTAGTGGTATACGAGCTGACTAATTGAATGTACTGTACCTGTTCTCTTGGGTTCAAAAGTGTTAAGTGACGTTTGAGCCTCAATGGAAAAGTTGGTTTAAATTATAAAGAAAAATTGTTTTTCTTGTTCAAACTTATTAATATGCTTTACAGATGCACCCAACCCAGGTAGATACACAAACGGTTTAAGTTGCTGGTCACAGAGCCATTCTTCTACCAGCCAGAATTATCTGTAGTGTAGGCATGATGATTAAAGTTCACAGATCTAGAGAAAAAGGATGGGGTGTCATCTTTAAATGCATGACAACTAAGGATGTCCATCAACAACACCACAGCGAAGTCCCACACATCTGCACAATATGATGAAGTTTTATGCTTGTGTCATTCTGAGTTGTGTAACTACAAAACTGTCAAGAACAATTTTACTTTGCTAGGAACTTTTGACATTAGAGCAGCTTTTTAAATGCACATTCAAGAGGAGCTGTGGCAACGTGCTATGTGGATCAACATAGACAATTTTAGAAGTGCCAAGTGACCATCATGTGTGTATTTCGCATTCTGTACTTTACCGGGCTTGAACGCTTCTACTGAGTACCAGTAGGGTTACATTCAGTTGGTCTACTTAAACCGTGATGGGGTTGTTGACTGGGCTCTTGCACTACTCCCACTTGCTGTTGACCTGAAAGATATAGTAAAATATATTGAAATGTAAGAACATTATTATAGACAATTTGCTTCTGACCAGTGGCATATATGGTGGTGGGAATCCCCCACAAAAAAGCTGCGAGCTAGTTCCCCCTCTCAGTT